CCTGTCCCTGATTCAGTACATACAGCTTGGTTACTTACGATTGAGCTTCACTGCTATTCAACCAGAAACACCACTGGAAAATGCTGACAAAAGGCAACTGTATTGCTTGTTAGCATGTTTACAGGAGTACAAAACATTCAAGGCTCTAATTCTATTTACTTTAGTTGGCTGTATCAGCAGTCTTGAATGTAGGAACAGGGACATCACTAACTATCTCAGCAAGTTTCCAAAAACTTTTGTTAGTTTCTTGTTAAAACTCCAGTTTCCTGCCCTCTGAAAGGTACAGCTGTCCTTTAAGACAACAGAAATGTTTTGTGTTCTCTTGGATGTGAAATGTAGATTACCAGTCAGTATTGAGGCTGGTCTTTCTACTGCTTTTGAAATCTGCTTCAGAAATCAAAGATTCCCAAGGGACATAATATTTTGTCAGTGCTACTGGTAACATACAGAACCCAGTGGAAGACAAGGTAACTACACTGAGGCTTTTATTTACTGATGTCATAGCAATTACTATAAATACTAAAGCTGGAAACAAATTCAAATTTTACAAGCTCATTCACCTACAGTAACCAGCTTTTGAAGGTACAATGTTTGCATTTAAAATTCTGGAAACCAATGCAGCATTTAGGTCTCCTTATAAAGGAAAAGTAGGCTGCAAGATCTCATTTAGAAACACATCATACAGAGAGTGAGGCTTGTAATACTGTGGCTTTGACTATTCTTAAAAAAAAATTGAGCTTCAAAGAAAAAACTGGAGGCACTGGAGGAGAGCCAGAAAAGTCATACTCAAGTATGGAATACATTAAAAAAAGCTGGATCTCTGATAGAACAAAAATTTATCCCTCTGGGTTTTTGTTTTGTTTTTTAAAGCAAGAAGACCACTTTGTACTGATAAACCCTATTTTAACACAGTATAGAAATGTATTCCTATTTAACAGACCTTTCAGAACGCTTTCCAAATTTAGACGAGTAACTGAAAAAGCAACACAAGAGTTTATCCCTTAAATTTGCAGCAACAATTTTTTACTTCTTTTTCTTTATTATACCATCTAAACAGTTGGGATAAGGAAGTTTCCCATCAAAATCTGACTAGCACTTTTTAGCATACTGTCTCTTATATAATCATAAATCCTGTTAAAAAATGAAAACTCCTTTACAAATAAAAATGGAAATGACAATAAAAAGTATAGAATCAATTACATTTTAAATGTGATATCTGGAAGCATATAATAATAAAAACTATTTATGACATATCCAGAAGGACATAATAATACACTCTCTCATTTTTATTCTTATTGCAATCTTTCACTTTGCTCTAATAATGCTTACTTCATAAAAAATATTTGTTAAGAAATCTGTAATTTTAAGATAATTTTTAATAATAATTTTAATCATTATTATGTTTAAAGGCCTACTTGTTTAGAGGATTTAAAATCAAGTGTGTATCAATTTAAGTAGGGCTTTGACACTTGAGTGTCCTTGTGGAGCTGTCACTACATTATTTAGGAGCCCAAGTACTAACAGAAGCTATGAGTCATTCAGGCTGTGATTCCATAGTGTATTTCTCTTGGCAAAGCTGACTTAAGCAGTTCCTGCCACCACCTCTATATCTTACCAGCTCATTTGTTCTCTTCACCTTTCCCTGAGCCCTTCATTTTAATCCTTTGTTTGTGCCAATACAAAGGTTTGTCAGGCTCCCAGGTGATCCAGATTGGAGAAATTATCTATATTTCAAATAGCTATACAAACTCTTCTCTCGCATTTTGGCTGAGAGATTTCTAACTTGGAGGAGGTTCCTGATCAGAATAACCAAGTACTATACCAAACAGAGTGATATTAGGTTGCCTACAAGCAGGCTGGGATGAAGAACAGGAGAGTGCAGGGAACCATTTAGGTCAGCTTTACTTCCAAGAAAAACATTTGTAAAACAGTGATCTTAGATATTTCTCCCAGGTACAAATATCCATCCTCACAATTAGTGGTATCAAAACTGCCTTACTAACTGATGGCTCTTCAGCAGGCTGAAGAATGAGGATGACCACCTCACTGCAGTTCATAATCAGTTTCCAAACTACAAAATTCATTGCCTTAAACAGGAATCTTGTTAACAAGACCTAGCGATCTCCAGAAGGAAACTGTTAAAGTATCCCACCAGTGGTAGGTTTGAACAACAGCGGCTGGGCAGTATGATGCAGTAGCAGGTACCTAAAGCTATCAGAGTTGAGATGAAATGGGTCACTCTCTGAAGATGTCCACCTCTTACTGCAGAAACTTCCTACACAATTTTGACCACATGACTACCTCTAAGACGGTCAAAGTTAACTGTTCATGTCACAATCACCAGCATGTCTCCAAAGACCTGTGAATGTCAAGAAATGTTCCTCTTCCTGGATCAGTGACTCAAGGGTTCTAAGTTTCACATGATGAGTTCAAGAAAGCTCAATTTCCACTTACATAGCGTAATGAAGTAAACATATCAACAAAGATATTAATCTCTAAGTTTTCACCAGCCACCAACCTAGCCCCCAATTAAGTTTTCAAATTGAGAATTTTCTTTAAAACCTGAGCTCTATAATTTTCTTCTTCTCTCACTGTGGACTATCACTTTACTTTTCTTCTTTTCTCATACAACAGCTACATTGTAAAACAAACTGCAGCCTCAAGGACAGTACCATTTCTTTCAAAACTACTGTGTAGCTTGGTTCTACGGGAATGACGGGGAATATATGATTGAGGCTGCCCAAAACAAGTGTCCTTTTCTCAGATGCAAAGTCATGAATGTCTGCAGAAATGCATTCTGATGCCAAGGATTATTACAGGTATTTTTAAAACAGCTGCCTACAGTTAGAGGAAGAATTTCTAGACTGTATATCCTCAAAGATATCCATAGTAGGGAACAGCATTGAAAACACTGCTTTACTCCTTAGAACAAAGATATTCATAATACTACCAGACTATTCAAATGCTCTGCACTCTACAATGAAAATGTTTAAGAATTCTAAACTAATTTTTCTGTGAACAATTCTTGTACAAAATACCTTGTAACTAATACACTACCAAGTTAGAAAGCATCACATAGTTCTTTGTTGCATGCAGTAAACAGCATTTAGAGGGCAAAGTTGTAACAAATTGAAGCTCTATGACTTTTTTGGAATAGCAGGGGAAAAAGAATAAAAGGAGAAAAGGTTACTCTGAGTACTGCAATAACTTACTGGTCCTTTAGCCAGTCGTTAACAAAAGGAATGGAAAAGAATTCTGTGAATGACTCATCTTTCCTCTTTGGGTTCTTGCTGATAACAAAAAAAAGAAAACAACTCATATTAATTTAAACTTCAGCTATTCTATTTGCAAATTAATGCCTTTGAATCATTGAGCATAATTAATAGTAAAAGTCAAGATTAACTTACTTGTATAACCACTCAGTTAGGAAATCACAGGCAATAAATTTGGTCCTTTTTGTCTAAAGATAGAAGATAGTTTCAAATTATTTATTATCTTTGGATTGGTCATATGTTTTTTCTACTGAAGAGGAACAGAAGTTAAATTGCTTTTATTAAATAAAATATACAGTACATTACTCTGTCTACTTTAATATTGCTACTGCCAATGGTCAGTGGCTCAGCCAAAATTTTAGAGATTTTGTGGAATGCTTTCAAGTCAAGTCAAATATGAGTGAGAAAATTTTACATAAACTATCTTGATATTTGCTGCAGTATAGCTATAACAAATATCTCTGAACGATGTTCTTTCTAAGTGGCAATCTCATGACAAAGAAATTAACAGAACTCATCTATGAAAATATGTTGTAAATTATTTGCCATTTTGTTCAAAGTTCTATTATAATACTTAAAATACTCCATTACTTCCAAGGCACAGAAGGACCATTGATGGAATATTGTTTCCTCCTGCATGGAACCAGCTTGAAGGCATTGGGCATACCCAGAAACACACACACAGCAGGGTATTGTATGGCTGCTCAGACAAAACTGTCTGCTGGGTAGTCCAGAAAGGCAGAAACGAGGCATATGTATATGCACAACCACAAATAGCATGGACATTACAGAGAATCAGGTAAAAAGTTAAAAACCTGGAGCTTCAGAGCAAACAGTTGTGCCCTTTGCTCCTAGTTCCAAGACTTCTTCACCACCAAAGAGAATTTTGCAAAATGCCTTGCAGTGGGTTATGCGCAGTGACTCATGCAGCCAGTACCTGTTTAGCTGGACATCACTGCACGCTGTAAAAGATGTTTTGAGTTCAAAATTCAAAGGATGAATTTTGATCAATACAGAATTGATTAGGGCCTTCCTTTTCTTAGAGCTTTCCTCTCCGCCTTCCATCTTTGCAGATTGAATGTACAAATGAGTACAGGTGCTTATTCTACTTATTACAAACCAAAGTAACTATGATGTGGAGAATATAATGTAGACCTCTCATCAGAACAACAGAAGAGCTTGACTAGTCTTCTGAACCCCTCTTACATGAGATGTCTTATGGATGTACACAGCCATAGACGGAACGCTAAAAGACATCAAGTCCCTGCAGAACAGAAATACTGAGTGCGTTATCACAACAGCAGCCATTTAACTAGGAGAAGCCCAGCTCCCATCCAAAAGGTAATACTTACCCTATCAAATGGGAGATTCAACTTCAGTTATTACTTTTTAGGAAAACAATTCACACTGGTCAAACACATTTGTGAAACTGCTAAACGTTATGAAGGAGGTTGGAGTCTTGATTAAAATGTAAGAAATTGAGGTACTACTACCACTTGCTAAGAAAAATACAATAGATATGTAAATGGAAATTTAATGCATGGCGGATGACTTTATATACTATCCTCATCATTAATGTGAATATGATGCAAAAAAGACTGGGAGATGTAAACTGAGAGGCAGAAAAAAAGTGCTCTACATGGCATAATTCTTTCAAAGTTTGAGACATTAGCCCATGGCATAATTTGGGGGTCAGTGTATTACTTCAGCCACAGCTGAAGTGGAAGAGGAACATTATGGGAGGGCAGTGAAGAACAGAGGGTAGTCGTGTAGCCAGGGAATGACAAATGTGAAGTTTAGAGCTAGACTGCATGGCATTCCTAGATGATACCCAGGAAAGCTTTTACTTTTCTAAGTGAATCTTATCTTCAGTAGACATACAGTCTGACTCCCACAGAAAATAAAGCGCACTTCTGTAAAAAAAAAAAAGGCAGAAGAACAGAAAAAAAAGAACATTGCAAAACAATTACCAGTCCTGAACCCCATGTGCTTTTATGATCTGTTTCATGACAACAAAAGCTTTGGGGGTCATGTAGCGCTCCATGAGAGTGCTTGGCTGTGAAGAAACACATCTCCTTAAGGAATTTTCACACTTATGCTAATACCAGATACTGTTCTGAGAGGCCAAACACCTAAGCTTTAAGAGACCAACAGCTTCACTGGAGAGCATTCTATGGGTCACTTTAGATGTTAAATGGACAAATTTTGACTTGAACAGAATCTGAAAACAAACAGCAAGAGTCTGATCGTCTTTGTACAGCTATTCTCAATCACAGTCTGAAACTGGGTCCCATTACTTAACGAATTGTTTTAGAGAATAAATTCTATACTTTGACAACAAAATTCAATTTAATCTAGCAGTTGTAATTTAATCTAAGTAAATTGCTTCTGCCTTGCAATGGGAAAGAGCAATCACAACAGTTTTGTCAAAACAGTTGTCACCAAAGCAATCAAATTAATCTTGCTTTATCCTTGTTAGATCCAGTGAAATTATCAGGGAGGAATTTGGTCAAGCTGAATATTTTTTATTTTGTTATTTTTTTGCCAGGAAAAAGTTCACTTTGCTAATGAATTAAATCATTACTTGCACAGCAGTCAACATTTGTAGAAGGGAAAAAATGACATAAATTGACCTGCCTTTGACACATTCCTTCTATGCTACATGAATCAGGATAAACACAGGAAATATCTGCACAATGCGCATTGTTAACCTGCAGATGTGTTTATAAACTATTTATACTCAGAATTCATTTTCGATTTTTCAGTTTAAATATGATGTGCTTGGTAATAACCATACAAAAATAGTGGTGATCAGGAGATGGCAAAGTCATTAGGAAACCTTCTTCCATTCACTTTTCCTGATCTACCTTACTTTTAAATATACGATATTCCATTACAGAGTCTGATACAGCATCCTCTTTCTGTGACCATTAACCAGAAACAAAAATCAGAGTTATGCTAATAAAAACATTTAAACATTGTTCAGTTTTAAAGCTGAAAAACGATTGCATTAGTCAGTTCTCAGGAGAGAAAAGATTTAAGAAAATAGTCTTTCCCCTGGAGATGTTTGACAGCAGATAGGATAAAGCACAGGAGAACTTATGGTAGGGGACAAAAAAATCAGCAAGGGAATACACTGGGCAACCTAATAGGTTTCTTTCATCTCTAATTTAAAAACGAAGCTTCTGCAGACTGTTCTCATATTTATGTCAGTTTGAAGTCTGCAAATATATCTAGCAGCTGGTGGTTTTTCTAGGTTTTTGCTTTTCAGATTTTTCATACACACTACGTAATGCAAAAAGAGCCTATTTTAATTGAAATGTTTAAGTTGCAATGTTTCTGTATCACCTTCCAAATAAGATCTTGCAGATTTCTTTCCTACACAAATGACTACTTTCAGCATAGCCATCTCTCTTTCCTGACTTTCCCATGTGATTCTACAATTCTCTCTTTCCAGACATGGATGCGTCTTTTCTGATCTCTTCCTCGAATTCCTCTGTTGGTCCCATGATCTGATCTCCCTTACCTCAATTTCAATTCCTAAACAACTCTCCTACTAATTTTTCATTCTCTTCTCATTTGTCTTCATTCCCCTTCAAAACATGAAAACCTTTAATTCCTCTGATCAAAAACCCACTCCTCATTCTCCCTCGCAATTCTCTCCCTCTCCTCCCAGGCTCATTCAACGTTGACTGCAGTCAGTTCGATTGTTCCTCCTTTCCTTCCAGTGCTGCTTCCATTTATCTTGCACTGGTTTATTCTATTGGAGCTGCCCTTTACAGGCTTTAATGACTCATGTCTAGCCAAAATTCAAACCCAGTATTCTGTTCTCATCCTTCATTATTTCAGTTAGCTTAATCACAATTAATCATGTTCCTTCTCCTGTTCTCTCATGAATTCCATGAATCTTTCTATTCTTTGTTCTCCTCCTATTTTTTTTAAGCTATCTTCTGGTGTGTTTAACACAGGAACCTTTCTCCCTGTCCCTAACTTTCTCTGGGTTTGTGAAGGCTCTGATTTTGATCCTAAAAATCAATTCCAGATATTGCACTAACCATTTTAATGCAAATGATAGCATTTTTTCCCTCCGAATCCATATGGAACAACACAGTTCTTATGAAACAAAAGTATAATTAGAAATTATGTATTTAAGTCAGGTAAGGAAACAGAACGTCCAAATACAAGCACCTGGACAATAACGGAAAAGAGCACAAATATTCAGTTATATGGCAAGCATAAAGAGCTATTGTTTTACTAGTTATTGTTCAAAAGCAGGAAGAAATGATGTCACAGTGGAAAATGATCATCTGACATAAGCTTGCTTTCCTACACTTCCTTCCCCAATAGCAGGACATCTCTCTATGTAACAACAAAAATCACTTAGTGTCTTTTCGATAAGATGTGCTCATTTTTATGATGTTTCTATACATTAGAAAATAATTGGTTTTATTAGTTTACTATAAAGCAACACACAGATCCATACAAAATCCATTTTCAGAACAGATACTTTCTAATCTATATACCACTGAAGCTCTGCAAAATTTCTCATATTAAAAATAGATGAAGTAACCTTAGATTTGTCCTGAGTTTGAAACTGAAATATTTCTAAGAATTCTCATATTTTTGTATTAAGTGCTGTTTGATTGCCTTCAGAAGTGTGTAACATCTATCAAGGACTGTATTTTAAGCCAGCTGTAAGGTATGCCTTTTTCCTGTTAAAGGATATGTGCTTCCTTTAAGGAAAAAAAAAAAAGAATCAATGTAAATTTCATTAAAAGTGTTATGAATAATAAATATGTTCAATCTGTTCTTGGCTAGGTAACATAAATGTGATGGCAGGAATGATGTACAGAGATGTTGTGCCATAACAACACGTAAATGAAACACTTTCCTATTCCACCTGTACTAATCACAGATTATAAATACATATACACACATATATATAAATCAATCTGTTTATAGATACACACAAATCTTGTGAATAAACATATAGATTTGGATTTGAAATGCAAGTTTGAGGTGTCCATTCAAGCATGGTAAGCTTTGTGTATTGTTGTCTGTGCCAGGCATGTATAGGCCAGTGGCAAATAGCACACATGTAATTTTTACAAATTGTTCCACAATGTATGCTATCGTACATACACAGGCCTATAACAGGAAATCAATGTCAATAATTGACGAGGAGGTAGATCAAGACCTAAGATCATTAATAACCTACTAGTAACACAAAGTCCTCCTCACTTCGCTATCATTTTAATGTATAACATTTTAACCTATAACCCCAAGAGCACAAACTGTATTCCTCAGATGTGTATCATGTACAAAAAGGGAGATACTTTCACTGTCATTTATATTAATTGCTCTTTATATTATGAAGCTGCAAGTAAGAGGAGGCTCAGCTGCAGGCATAAAAAAATATAGAGAAGTTTTAAATTCGAAAGTGTGTATGACAGGCAGAAAATAGGAAAGAAAGAAAAAAAAAACCCCACTTCCATGGTTGGAGAAAATAGCAGAAATTACGGAAATCCCCACAACTCCCAGTACCTAATCTATTGCTGGAGGTCTGTGAGTCAGGCTATGGTGATACAATGAACTTTATTTTGCACTAGTTGTAATGTTTTTTAAGCACTCCCTATATACAATGAGGAATGTCTCTCTAGATATGTTCACACACCCGTACACTGAAAACAATTTATAAAAATACATGTAGCAAACAATGATTTTTAAAATGTACAATTTTTACAAGCTCATTAATGCTGAATACTCTGCTTTCCAATTCAATGGAATTTACACAGAATGATAAAAAGCTAAAATACAAAATGTACCTCTAATAGGATGCCAGCCCAGCAAAAATAAATGAGCAACAAAGTAAAATTCAAACTCTTTATGTCACCCTCAAATGAGTGATGCGTATTAATCTGAAAAGAAGCCTGTTTCGCTAAAATACAACACTATTTAGGCTAGATACAACTGGATATTTAAGGAGGATTTCTTGTGAGTTAGAGATTGTCATAATGATCAAGTGTGTGCAGTATGCAATTTGTTCTGAATTACTGGAGAAAACAATATTCAAGACCATATCCAAAACAACTGATGATACATTATTTCATATTATTGTTGCTGGTTTTCTTGCAAAAGATCAAATAAAGAAATACAGCCTATGAAATGAAAGGTTGTAACTTCCTGCCAATGACTTGAACTGAAAACTGAAAACTGAAAACTAACCTATTCTAACTTTTCCTTCTTGGCTCGATGCAGAAGTTCAGCCATTCCGGGTAAGAGTACTGGAAATATGTAATACTTTAAGTATCCTCGAGGAGAACCTGAGCAAAACAATACAGCCTTCACTTACAGGTAAGCACTTAGATTTCACAAAAAGACAAACATTAGATATCATAAACTAAGTATCAGTTGTTGTATCAATACCAGCACAGCTTGAACTAAACAGATTCATTCAGTTCAGATACAGCCAGGGATCTGCCTTCACTTCTGTTCAGTCAAGACAACATAAACTTGAGTAAATTTCAAAGTAAAGGTGCATCAATACTGCAAACTACAGTGTGCCTCAGAGATGTCAGACTTAGTTTTAAATAAGTAAACTTAGACACCAGAAGGACTTTAGCCATGGAAATGAAAAGCGATGTGGGCTAATTTACCGTAACAGAAAGGAAAGTAAATTAGCCTGCGCTGAACTCAGTGCTGTTACACCTAGATCACTTTTGGTATCTATACTCATGCCCTTTACAATCTGCAGTAACAGAGTTGGTCATAAAAGTGAATTTCTAGACAGAGGAAAAAACAAAGGTTATATTTCAGTGGTGCTGCGATTTCTTTCTCATAATTACTTCCTAATTGCCAGATCCTTCAGAAATTTGAACATGACTCCAATATATCCAATTTTTCCACCTTGGAAGGGCTGTCTGGGTTGGCATCTCTCTCTTATGTTTGGGTGCACTGCCCTTACTTAAGGTCTACTTACCATACTTCCCAGGTGCTCACGCACATTTGCATCACTGAGTTCCATGCAGAAGAGAGCAGCTGCAGTCAGCATCATGAAAAAACAGCAGTGCTATTGCCCTTGCTCTACATACACCCTAACGGCTACATGTTTGCTCAACTGAGAGACTCAAGCTCTGTTCTTCTTCTCAGCTTTTCCCCACACCTTTATCTTCCCTAATGGGACCCTTCACCATCAACTTAGAAACTGGGTGAAGTGGAGGAGCCTTCTAGCACTGCACATGGAGGAACTCAAACACACTGGGCCCCAGAGGGAACAGGGAGGATAGCTCTGTATGAAGCTGTAAGAGAACTTCCCTCAGAAAAGTGAACAAAACAAAACCTGTTAGGATCCTAGACAAGCAGTGGTGGCTGACTGGCTGAAGTGCTGTCCTTGATTTACAGACAGCCTGCCTGCCATTCAGTAAGTATTCAGGTTTTGGTGTGGTCAGTAAAGATTAAGTCATAGAAGTATTCTCTTTTGGCACCACAGCTGAAACACTGAATTTATTCTCTGCTTTATACCTTTAAGTGGTTCATATACTGCCAGAAAATGATCATGATTGGAAGGGCACTATATATACATACAAAAGCGAAGGGTAACACTGCTTCTGACTAGCAACAGGAATTCTTAATGAGCAAGAATGAATGGAAAAGAAGGAAGGACAAAAAAGAGGGCTAAAATGCATAATAAAAATACATTGCTACTTGGTAAATTTTATAAAGTATAGAAATTTATAAAAATGGAAGGACAAGACTTTAGAGCTGTTTCCATTCTAATTTGTAATCAGCTGGGCAAAGATAATATTTGGAAAGCAGTTTTCAAACTCAATTGTCTATTTAGTCTATTGATCCTAGTTTTGCATTATTAAATTAGAGGAAGAAATGCTTGCCTTTCTCTGATTTAAGTGACTAAACAAAAAGTCACTTATTCAGAAGAGAACAGAACTACCTTAACAGCTAGACAATGCTACTGATTTGTAATCCACCATTTGAGCGTTCTCCCATCGACCAAGTGGCCAAGCTGTCTCCCTGTTTACAGACCAGGCGACTATCATGCAAATTTTACTTAAGAAAAGGTGTTGTAGCTGTTAACACTTTAAATTCAACAAATTACAAACCCTTGCCAAATGCAAGAAAAATAATAACAGCAGTGTTCAAGATAATATACTCCTACTTACATGTTTTTGGATCAGGTGGCTCTGGAAAGGGGGCTGCCTCGGGTATGGGAAGTGACTGTTGGACAACAGTATCAGCTGCAGGTGCTGAATAAAATTGTTCCATATGTAATGGCTGCAATATTCCTGCTTCCAAAGGCACCTGTTCAAGATAAATGTAACCTATACAAATATCCCAACCAGACTGTAAAAAAATATAGAAGCCAATTCAATAGGAAAAATTTTAAGGTCTGTTAAAAATATGGAATTATAATTTCTAATTCAAATATTGAAGTATTTCAGTATTTTCACAGTACTTTAAGAGAAGGAATTACACTTAAAAAAATTCTGCAGTCTCCAGCACAATAAAAACATCCAAATCTAATAGAAGGTATATGACTGCTTTTAAGCGAATATGGTGAGATATCACAATTTTAAAAATATTTTAGCCATTGTGAGAAATAATAATTCTTTGAAAATCAAAATTGGCAATATTTTCTGCATAAGTAATTTTCCATTCAGAAGCTTATATATTTGTTTCTGTATTGTTCAGAAGTCCTGACACTCACCTTTTAAAGAAAAGCAACTTTCCTTCTAAACAAAGCACAAACAGACAAATTCAGAGCAGATGCAAATCCAAATCTTAAGTTTCCCTATATAGAAACAATTATGAATACCACAAAAAAACACAGTCCACAATTTTATGTGTGGTTTTTAGGAGTGCAGGAACTGTTACAGAGAGCCAGAAGAATACTCCTAACCGACACTGACCAACACCTGTTACAGAAAGGCAGATACAGCCTTTTATCCCCAAGAATGCACCATCATTACAGTTCGCTATGAACACGTGTTATGAAAACTATGTCATCTAAACAGTTTCACTTTAAAATTCAGTTGGATTTATGAGCTACTGAAAAGCAGGTGGTGGGATTAGGCCACTACACTTATAATACTCCGCATGTCAGTGACCACAGATAGACTCCTTTTTAACATATGCAAGATTCAAAAAGCGATCCTTTTGGAAACTAAAAAAAAAGTGCAGCAACGTAGAAAGGTATGTTATTTTATTTTGATGCTCAAATATATCAACATATTATGCCCAGACTAATGCCCCAAGCAGAGTTCACTACTCAAATTTAATAACAGCCTGTAATGAAGCCAGTTTCATTTGGGGAAACAGACCAACTGTCAGACAATTTAAACTACAACATCTTAAAATAATTTTAAAATAACAAAGTAACCTAAGTAAGGAATAATAAGATAAAACATCTACAAAAACGCCTAATTTAAGTGAAAGTTAACTCTGTACGTGATGCCCAAAAGAATTAATGTTGCTGCTCCTACAACTGCTGGGAACAAAGGTTTAAAGTGGTTTGGTTTTCTTAAGTTTTTATGTCTGCCAAACAAGTCTTCCTAGACTGAATTTATTTGGTCAAAAATAAGACTTCAAACAACCGTGATCAGGTTTAATTCCACGAATTTCAATGGCCTCATCTAAGTGACCTATCACATACGTGAAATTGGGGCATAACTCCTCTGCTACACTTGCTCCCCTCTCCCGCGTATTTCAGTGCTCAGTCTGCTTGTAACACCACCAAAAGGACATCCTTGCATACTTCAGAGTCCTGCCTCTGATGCAGACAGTCACAGAAAAAAAGATAGTGAGATGTATAAACCAAACACAGCTGGTAATCTAATTTTAGGATACCGCTACCCAAGTTGCTTTAAATAAAAGCAATGATTTAGAATATTACATTTGTTGATTCACAAAAGTTGTTTGCAGAATGTAGTTTTGTTTTCATTTTAGGAATGATTCTACTCTGCAGATACCTAATTTTCCCATTTAGTTATTTAAATCTTTTAAAACCAGCCCTATGTAGATTTTTTATTTGAACTATACTCACAGATCCACGTTTTGATTCAGGAACATCTGGAAATTGAGGCTGTTCTGCTTCATACTCTAGAAGTAAAAAGAAGTGCAACATTTACGCAGAAGACTTTAAAAACATATTCCTTTTTCTCCTAAACAAACATTACTTTCTAAAGGTACATATTCTGGTTTGAAACAACAAAAATCAGTATATGACAAATATTTGTTTAACATGAAATCTAATGTTTTAAAACAAATGAGAACTTTAGAGCCTCTTAGCTTGGCTTTAAGCCACGTTCAAGGTTCTCAGTGATAAAAGAACACTTTATTGGGAAAAAGATTTTTAACCAAAATAATAATTTAAAATACTTTAATGTAAGTATAATGCAGATGCTCGCACAGAATTAACCATTGTTTTTAGTAGTATGTAATAGTACTTTTCAACTTGAATTCCTCTATAAGCAATTAAATCCCCAGGACATTGCTTAAGTATTAGTCTCCACTTCCAAAAAAAAAAATAATAAAAAAGCAAAAGCAGTACATGACCCAGTGAATCTGGCTAAGAAAAACAGAGGAGGAGGACAATGGACCTGATATGAAAAAAACTCACAGATTACACAATACAGAAAATTCTTACAGCCAAACACAGCAGGTTTACCATTCTACCACTATAATTAGGAGATATACTGGCATTGCTACTTCCGTGTGTAGTATAGATGCCTCAGCTGAATCATATTAGAATAAGTAACTTTATTCCTACACTAAAAATGGCCATTTTAACACAAAACATCTAGTTTAAGGCATTGTAAAGTACTAAGCGAGGAGAACTCCATTTGGGTACCACAAAACTATGCTGCTGTTCTCTCAGCTTCCCGATCAGTCTCAAGTGCTCT